TGCCCGCTCCGTTTCGGAAAACAGTAAGTAACAGTAAAAAGTAGAGAGCTGGCTATTAAATACCGATTAGACACATATTATTTTGGCAAAGCAAGTTTTCTTTTTCATTTCTAAGTTGCTTTTTACTTCGTCTTACTTCTTCTAAGAGAGAGTAATAAACGACCAGCGAACTCTGCTTATTGATCGGACTTGAGCCAGAAGAAGTTGGGCTTGCAGACCCTCTTAAGAGAAACCTCTGGCAACTTATAGTCTACAAATCTTCCAGGAACTAAGGAGCAAGTTGACACCTGGTAGGAGAGCGTGGTACCCTCGAGACGTCCGCCAAAAGAGGGATACCGAAAGAAAAACAAACTTGAAAATAAATAATTTGCGGCCCTATTGTAAAGTCCAACAACCTGCACAAAACAGCAGAATATGCTTTGACACGGTTATCTATTGCGGCTAAGTTTCAATCCTTCCTAAAGGCGGACACCCGATGCAACGCCATGCGACGCTACCCGACGCAAATCCAAAGTCCATTTTTCCATAAGAATGTATTAACCCGTGCACATCTGCCCGAATGAAACGCTCCCTACTTTACGCTCTGCGATCGTAATTAAATTAATATATAATTAATAATTGTTCGGAGATCGTGAGATGCGGTTTGGTGTAACGTAGTTTTACAAAAACATTTTCTCTATCGTGCCAGTGAGATATTGCTTTTTATGTTTATATACGTTTTATATAAGGAAGTCGGTATAGAAAGGGTATGCTCCCCGTCTATATAATACTGAAAGGATAATATGACCGAACCAAAACCAACGTTTTTTCCCATCGTATGCTCTTTTCGCCTCAAAGAAGCCGACTCCATATACAAAAATGTCTTTCAATACCGACTTCCTTCCCCACCCCTTAAAAATCCAACGTATATAAACATAAACAGTAAACTCACTAATTTCGTGGTCCGCTTGACCAATTAATACATTACAATTAATTAAGGTTTATAGTAGAGATAAAAAAAGTTAATGGCACGAGATGGATTCGAACCCACGACCTTCGGCTAGATACGCCGCTGCTCTACCAACTGAGCTATGTTTGAAAAATAGCAAAACGAAGGTCGTGGGTTCGAATCCATCTCGTGCCATTAACTTTTTTTCATCTCAACTAAAAACCTTAATTAATTTTAATAAAACAGTAATATCTCACTGGCACTCTCAACAGGACACGCAAGAATGGCACATTACGCAGAAAACAAACACTTTGAGTGAGTAGAAATACTTTGATTGATTATAAAAAATATTTTTTTGCATTGTATAAATTCACTTTTTTCCACATCCCACATGTATTTGTTAAATTGAAACAATGTTTGTAAATCCCAGGCTCTGAAGATGATCTTACTAAATATCGAAACGTTGGAACGATAAAGAAAATATGTTTCTAAAAGCTACGTCACACCAGACCGTATCTCACGATCTCCGAATAATAACTGAATAACGTCACCATTCACCACACAATATTTTTTATTTATCCTTCCATTTATTGCACCTTCCAAAATCACCTAAAATATCCAGAACAAAGCCCTCGAGTTGGCCCCAAAACGAAACACATTGCTAAATAACCTTTTCGTCTGCCTTCAATGCGACATACAATAACTGAACGAATAAAATTGTGGAAAATACTATCATTTTGAATGCGAGCGAAAAATCCAAAATAGGGAAGCGCGGATCAAAATGCCCATCCCTCGTACGGAAGTGCTCTAAATGTGCCGAAATAAATCCAGACACTTTGCCTTCCGCTCGCGACCAGTTTAAATTACAAATCGGGAAAAACATAAAAACACAAAATAATTCCTTAACAAATTAATGACACACATTTTAAAATGTAAATGAAAATTTAAATCTATGGCAGTCGAAAAATCTGCAACGTTAAAAAATGTACAAGAACAACTTTGCAGCCCACCCTAACTGACAACACATCCTCCGGTGCTTACAGTAACAAGCCTTTAATTTCCCAAAATCAACAAGGAATATAAAATCAAGATGGCGCTATTATTTGTCGCCCGGCAGAATAAATATTTAGAGGAGTTGGTCGCCTCTGTCCTCCCTCACATTTTCAAACGGCACCCCACGGGAGATCTAAATTTTATAGAAAGGTTATATGATATAAATCAAACTGCCCGCGAATATTTCAGCGAATTGTTAAAAATTAGTGGCCGTCAAACCAAATGGCACTTCTTTGCCAATCCAAAATGATATAGAAGCTCATGATTTCACATTCTCCGTATTAATCATTATAATATTGGGAATCCTAATAACTTTAAAAACCCGTGCAGTCCTCGTTAATAAGTAATCAAGAAGAAGACGTATATTTCGTGTGTGTACTTCGTCAATTATTAAGGACGCAAATATTTTATCAGACTGCACAGAAACTGAAGTATTCGAATTATACTAAAAGGGGTTAACACAGAAACTAGGGCACGTTTTCTTATACTAAGGCTAACTAACGATAACTATGGGCAAGTTGTATCAAATACTTTAGGAAGAAGCAGAAAGGCTACAAAATATCGTCTAAGTCAGAAAATCTGGGTGAAAAATCTCGTCTACATTGGGGCAATAATGGAATAAAAAATACATTGACAATAATTACAAAATTTTCTAAACGGGAAATAATTTTAATAATGGGAATAATTCACTAGTTTTCGTGGTCCGCTTTAACAATTAATATCTTTCAGTTAGTTACGGTTTTTATCTCAACTGAAAACCTTAATTAATTGAATAGGAATAATCCTGAACATAGAAAATATTCCGAAAGTCGAATCAATCTAATGCCAAGAACGAATTTACAGACACAAATAGCAACATTTCATAACTGACAACTTGATTACCGGCTATCGAACGAAAACATTAAAGTCGGCATAATTGCCTCGATGAATTAATTATCAACGTACAGATTTAAAAAAACAGGACTCACCTTCTCACTTAGCCCAGAATCAAGAACGATAGGACAATTAATACACCGCGAAAATAAAAATTTCATAAAAATGACCACGAACGAAGTCCAAAACTTACTGAGCGAGTCTCCTCCCAAAAGTTATCACCGAAAACCGTTACCAAACAGCCTATATTAAGGCCAAAATCAGTTACACGTCTGCAGAATGCAAAAATTTCAAATCAAAACCTAATCCCGAGTGTGTATAGTCATGAGTCCGCCAAGCCTGAGTTAAAAGTCAACCAAAATAATAAATTGGTAGAAAGAAGAATTTATGTCCCTATAAGAATTGTTTTTTTGCCATTTTCAGTCCCTATTCACACAGCATCATCAATTTCATTAGTACCTTCCAGTTTTCATAAAAACCTGTCCACAAATAAAATAGTCGAACCAAAAACTGGCCAATATTTTTTTTTTTTTCTGACCTTGCTTTATGCATTGGCCAAAGAAATAATTATATGAAGCCCGATGAGGCGGAGACGACCAAAGGGGCCAGGCGGATTTGGCCTAAGCAGCCCAAGCCAACGCATCGGGGACTGGAGGGCTTTATAAAAATCAAGCGTCCCAACAATGACCCCCCACTCGCCCCCCGATCAAAACCGCCTCACCCAACCTAGCCTAATCCTCCGATTTAAATTTCAATGCTACATGATACCAGAAAGTCAAATATATGAGTATATATATCTATATCATTAGTACCAATTAATGTGTCCAAGTTGAAAGGCCGTTCGACACTTTTAGACCCAACAATATTCCGTAATAAGTCAGCTCTCTGAACTTCGTACTCGTTGCAGATCAAAATTATGTGATTGAGATCCTCGACCTCATCGCATGTAGCACAATTAGGGGTGGGTCGTAAATTTATTTTGTACAAATATGCTCCACATATACCGTGCCCTGTCCTAAGGCGAGATATAGTGGAGTAGAACGCTTTACTCTTACCCCCGACTGCAAACCAGGGTTGCTTTTGAATGTTGGAAAATATAGCTCGATAATGTTTCCCAGCTTCCGGAGAATTGTACAAAACTTGCCATTTTTCTGAACATATTTTTTTAACGTGATTTTTAAGATCTCCTTTAGTATAGCACATGTCAAGAGTAGCGCCACTTTCGGTAGCAGCCTTGGCCAGCGTATCCACTGTCTCGTTGTGGCAAACCCCCGAATGCCCTTTGACCCAGCATAACGTAATCTTTTTATTATATATTTGGAACAATTCCTGTAGTTTCTTAAGAACCTCGATAATGAGATATTCACATTTAGAGTTTAGAGTGAAATTTTTAATTTTTTGAATGAGGCTTAGACTATCCGTAAATATGCAGATTTTGTCTGACAAAATATCTGCAGCATATTCTAAAGCCTTGATTATAGCAACGATTTCGGCCGAATAAATAGAAAAATTTTTTGGGAGAGAGACTTGTTCATGATGCTTATTTAGGGGATCGAATAAAGCGCATCCTGTATTACCATCTATTTGGGAACCATCCGTAAAAATCAGTCGAAAATCAGGAAATAACCTAGTCACATCAGCTAAAAATTCCTTCTGCGCTTGTTGAGGAGGAAACTCGGAATAATCCCTGAGCGTGTAACAGTCGACTTCTCTTACAATTGTCTCGTATTCTAGGGTAAAAATAGGAGGTTTAATACTTTTGTATAGAGAGAATATAAGGGGAGTTAAAGAGAGAAAGGAAGAAACCAACAGAGGGGATTTCTTTTTTTGCCAAAACAGATTTGTGAGGTCTTTGACTACCAACTGATTGATTTTAGAAAATATAGGGCTAACTTCTGAATATAGCTTAATTGCAAAATTACCCGCCAACTTTTCTCTCCTGATCTCTAATGGAGGTTCACATACTTCTGCAGATAATGCTGAAATGGGTGTACTTGGTAAACAACCTAAAATTCTTCTAAGAAATTTATTGCGAACCGTATCCAATCGTTTCAGAGAGGTGTTAGAAGCCTGTGCGTACAAAATTGATCCAAAATCCAAAATAGGTCTAACAGTCGATCTATAAAACAACATANCCTATTCGCGATAGCCTTTTCGCAATCTATGGACCACCAGACTTTGGCTTTTTTACTTTTGAGCGATTTATTGTTGTACTTAGGAATACTATTTTCGCAGGCTTGTAAGAGGAAGTCCTCGAAATCTGAATAATCCTCAAACCCGGTTCGTTTGGAGTCCAAATTTCTTCGAACTATATCATTATGAAATTCTTCCCAATCCGCCCTCTTAACATTCCATTTTTTGGATCTGCCTAATGCGCGATAAACCGATGTAATACTCAATTCAAAAGTTACGGGAAGGTGATCAGAACCTATAGGGTCCTGATAGACTAACCAATTCATACGCAGTGCCAGATCTGCCGACACAAGAGTAATGTCAATCGCTGAATTATTAATCTGGGAAGGTGTCTTCACTTTCGTCGCGGAACCGTCATTTAAATACACTATATTATTTCCGTCTAGAGCATTTAGAAAAGCCCTGCCCTTCGAGTCAGTCCATCCTGAACCGAAAACCATATGATGCACGTTGAAGTCGCCGCCGATAATAAATGGGGGTGTTAATGTTTGAAAGAATTTACTCCATTCTTGTTCTGATATGTTGTTAGAACATGAATTGTACAGCGAGATTACAGTGAGTGGCCTTGACCCGTCTATAAAACATTTTATCCCAATTGTTATCAAGTCATTTATTCCATGGTTGGTACAGAGAGAAACATATGGTATATCGTTTTCAATCAAAATCCCAACTCCTCCATAGTTGTCATCCCTATCAAGTCGAAGGAAGTTGAACCCGGAGAATTTACAAACTTTTTCGGGGTTTAACCAAGTTTCAGATATTAGGCCAATATTAACGTTCAGATCGTTAAGGAGGGATTCAAGGTCTCCTTTCTTGGGTATCAGAGAGCGAGCGTTCCATTGAATGAATTTCAGGTGTTGAGAGAAATAATCTATAAAAATTGATTGGAAAGCTTTTGGAACTGACTTTTAGATACCACATTTGGGAAGAGGGGATCTGCTCTTTTTCTGTTTGAATGTGTGTTAAAGTATTGTCCAATCTGTTTTGGGGACAGCGGAAGTATAACAATATCGATAGCTTTTTGGTCAATTACTGCCCCTAATGAACCTTTTTTTGGAACTAGGGAACTACCATTCCATCTCAAAATATTTAAATTATTTATTTTACAAGCCGTAGTCATATTTTATTAGGCGGAATTAATTCTGCATTTTCAAGTAAAGCTGGTGAATTTGATAACCGAAGGTTTTTGATTAACTGTTGATAGGCTAGTAAAATTTTTGAAAAAATATCATCTTTTTCTATGTTGGAATCAGTTTCAATAGCGTGTAAGCTTTGTTGTAATAATTGAACGTAATAAGATGCATCGTCTTTATCAAAGGAATACGGATTAGCTTTTGGACCAGCAAACTTTCTCCCGGTCGGATCAATAACTTTCTCCTGAAATGCAGTTGTTGTATTCGGTTCTATTTGGGAATCAGAATCATTTTTATTGAATCCTGAGCCTTTTTGTTTAATGTTATATGGGCTATGTCTATAGGATGAAAAATGTTTTACCGTATGCTTATTTTTTTTCGACTGATCTTTAACATTGGGAGAATCTAAATTAGGAAAGTCTGACAAATTAGCTAATAGATTATATTTATTAGAGGTTACTGTTGAGTATAGCGTGGACGATACCACTTTTTTCCGTTTTATTTCCATAATGCGGTTGTATTCCGGACAGTTTCTGTCTGAGGCTTTATGATTTCCTGAGCAGTTTACACATCTTGCGACATTGCTACAAGGTGTATTGTCATCATGAGCAAGTCCGCAAGTCTCGCACTTTTGTTTTCCTTTGCATTGGTCTTGGAAGTGATTGAATCTGAAGCATTTACGACATTGACGAAGGGGGGGAATGTATGCATCCACTCTGCACCGCGTACCATAAATCGTTACGGTTTCTGGTAATTGTTGTGAGTCGAAGGTCAGTATGCAAGTGCCTAAATTAATAATACGAGTGCGATTGTTTTCCGTTATAGTTTTTTTAATTCTTCTAACCGACTTAACTCTGACGGGAGATTTAATAACCTTTAAAATCTCTTCCTCCGACATATCCGGATCCACACCTCTTATCACGCCCATTTTAAATATGAAGTAGGACGGAATATATGCAGAAAGATTCTTATCTTTTATAATTCCAGAGTTAACAAAAGCATTGGCCGCTGTCTGTGTCTTAAATTCTACCTTAATTCGATTTATTCCAGAACTGAACATGTTTGAAATTTCCTCCCTGTGTTCGAAGCTAGAGTTATGTATTAATTTTCCTAACTTCATGGGATGCATTTTGCCAACGTGTGCGTCTGAACTTTCAATGAATACTACGTAAGGGCCCTTATCTTCTAATTTGTACCTGTTTAAAGCTAAAGTTGATAATAATGAATTACGATCTAGTTTTTTGTTTTTTGAAACATTCTCATTGGAAGCCAGAAATATTTTATTGTACCCTAATGGCCCATCTTCTGCTGCTCTTTTTAACGAATGTTTCTGAGACTCTGTAAAGTCCATAGTATTCTCATTATTTACATTTAAAAAGATATCTGGAGGAATATCAGGGGGATCCTTCCCTCCACTTGACTCCGTCATGCTTACTTTTAAGTTTGTATGTCTTTACAAAAATAAATATTTTTAAAATAAATAAACAATTAACACCACATGCAATAAACAATTAATAAATAATTGTAATAACGATGAAGAAATAACAATTAATAAATAATTGTAATAACGATGAAGAAATAACAATTAATAAATAAGATTAAATAATGAATTTTAAAATATCATGTGATTTTAACGCCGTGAAAGTGATTTGAAATCAACGAGGTTGGACTTTGGCTCTATAGATAAGACGTTCTTAATCCGCACTCGTCCACGTTCAAAACAAGACTGGCCAATAAATTCATCGTCGCAAACGAGCCAAATATCACATCTTTGACCAAAATGAAATTGGACATTAAAATAAATAAGTTCACATGGCCACAACAATTTTATGTTGCTAAAATATCTAATGTCCGATGTAATATTTATAACTAAATCTCAAATGGTTATAGAACCTACAAGTAGCTCAGTGCATTAATTCAATCCCTACAAGCGCATTACCCCGCCATCCAAGAGGGCACTATATTTTTCAATTCGCTTAGGAATCCTCAGGAGCTGTTGATGAACTTAAAAAGTCGATTCAAAGAGACTCACCCAGAAACTCGGCCTAAAAAACGTGATGGGATATCGTTACGGATTAGGTCCAAATGGATATGTAATTCTTAAAGAAAAAATAGATAAATTATTAAACGATAATGTCATTGAAAGGACTCACTTTTCGTCTCCCTGTTTTCTAGACACTAAACAAGCGAACAATGGGGATTCCAAAGAATTCAGACTTGTAATAGATTATCGAGAATTAAACATACGCCCATCAGAACCCGACCGTCCAAGAAGCAAGTGTTCTTTTATGAGAGGGTAAACTTTTTACAGTGTTGGACCTACATTCCTCGTATCATCAAATTCTCCAAACAAAAAATAGTCAACAACGGACAGCCTTTCAAATTCTGCGGGGATCAAATGCTTTTAAATCAATCCCGTTTGGACTTGCCACAGGAGGGCAAGTTCTATCGCATTTAATTTAAGATTTTGGGTTATCTTCTATTTAAATTCGTGTTTTTCCATTTTGACGATTTACTCACCAACACCACTCACATCGAAAGATAAACTAGAAAATCCCTGACACGTATCCAACCGATTCTCGATATTCCCCGACCAAAATCACCCCCGCCAGGTAGCCCAATTCATCGGATGGATAATTTTTTTCGGTAAAGTAATCTCGGATTTCGGCCGTATTTCCGCCCCACTTAATGAACTTAGGAAGAAACACGAAATTTAGTTTGTCCGAATATTGCGAAAAATCATGGGGTGCTTCGTCGAGCTATCACGTCTCAAGCTACACAGAAAATGCCAGACATTACACAAAAGTTCGCCCTATTCACAACGGCTCTAAGATAGGAATCGCCGATTGTTTGGCTCAAGTGGTCAATTCCAATCTGCTAGTTTCTTTTTGAGGGAGCTTCAGACATAAACATTCAAACAGTCTAACATTCAAATTAGAAGCACTGGCCATATCCTACACGGAGCCAAACATTCCACTCCGTCGCATCCAAACTGCCCTGTCCATAATCCTCAGAAAAATCCTTGATTCTCCATTTTATGTATACAGCGAAACAACAAACATAGATCTAAAAAGTTCTTTTGTTCATGCTGAAATCCGTACTCGTTACAGCAAATTTCATTAAATCCTCCAGCAAACATAAATCCTCAACGACGAATTTGAGCATCAGGGATGTGGGCCAATTGAAGAGTAGAGAGAACGAAAATACTTTAATCTGAAACTAGAATCCCTTAGAATAACAAAAAGGGCACAGTATTTTTACAAATGTAGCTCTTGAATTAATGAAGGTTTAAAAATAAGTTGAACTAAATCACACAATAAAAAATATAAAAAATAGATATAAAAACCAACAATGGTGATAGGATATTTCAATGAATCAAGATCAATAAAAGAAAGGTTGAAAACAGTAACTCTTTAGAATGTATTTAGTATTTTCTTAGTAATAGAATAGTATTACTATTTTTTTACTAATTTTTTGAAACGTTGGCACGATAAAGAAAATATTTTTCTGAAACCTACATCACACCCGACCGCATCTCACGATATCTGAATAACTATCCATTAACGGTCACTAATCTCTACACATTAAATTATATATGNATATATTAATTACATAAAATTAAAACATTGTTGACATAATTAAACGTAGAAAAAGCTGTATATTAGCTGCAGCTTAAGAAATGCTATTGTCCTATAGCATAATATCTTATATAGTACAACTGTCAACAATAATAATTTGTATATATAAAAATAAAAGCATTGAAGTGTAAGATGAAAAATTAATTTTATTGCTTTATTTGGAGATAGCCATCTTAAAATCAGATAGATCCCATCTACTTACCGACAGCAATGAATTTAGGTCTGGTGACCTTTAATATTTAGTGTTGTAAATCAGTGTGAGCTTATTTAGCCTTGATATTGTGATCAAAATTATCACTGTCATTCAGGTTCTCTCTAATCAAAATGTTTGATTATGAGTGGGACGCTTCAGTCAAAAGCTCGTCTGGTCTTCGTCCTTTCAATCAAGCATCGCATTGAAAGCGAATCGAAGAAAACGAATCTATAAACTCCGGTGTGCTGTTGTCTGTGACAATAAATGCTTTATAAATATTTTCTTATTATTACAGCGAATTTTGACAGTTGTACCGCAGAAACATTGTTGGATGTTGGTTTCATCCATGCGTGTTCAGCATTACACCATGTTCAGTACAATCCACGCTTGTTCAGTACAAAGAGAATAACAAAAAAAAAAAAAAAAAAACAGTAGTTAATTAATAATCATTTACACTTTCTATTCATTGTTGCAATGTTGGGAGTGTTCAGATCGAATCAGAGAAAGAGAGAGAGAGAGAGATAGTGTTTTATTTAGCTACGCAGAATTAGGTCTCTTGGATATTCAACGTGGGTTATAATTTACAAATAAACATAATAATAGAAAAACATTAAATGATCTACTTTATATAACAATAAAAATGATATATTAGTCTACGTCAAGTAAGTTACACCGTAAATATGAACACCAATGCTTTTTAATTTTTAGTTCTATTCCATTAAAAAATTATTTTTACTTTTGGCATTTTTTGTATTCTGTTAACAAGGTTAGCGTTTCCCAATTTTACGCAGGAAATCTTTTTTCAATTCAATTTTAATCCATCATTTTTAATTTTTACTCCATACTTTTTAACTCTTTGCGGGAGGGAGGGAGGGGGAGAGAGAGAGAGAGAGAGAGAGAGAGAGAGAGAGAGAAAAGAATGAGAGAGAGAATGAATGAATGAGGTTCTTAGAGTCGCAGAATTTGGTCAAATACTGACCACTTTTACATTCAACGGCAGAGAGAGAGAAAAGAATGAGAGAGAGAGAATGAATGAATGAGGTTTTTAGTGTCGCAGAATTTGGTCAAATACTGACCACTTTTACATTTAACGGTAGAGAGAGAGAGAGAGAGAGAGAGAGAGAGAGAGAGAGAGAGAGAGAGAGAGAGAGAGAGATTTAAAGATTCAACAAATTCAACAATTTGTAACCGAAACTATTGTGGACAGAAAATATAAATATTGAGCTAATGATCCTTTAATTTAAAAATAAAATTACGCTCTTGCCGCACCATAAACTAGTTTATCGACCTAGTAAATTCGTTATGTTATTAATGTTACCTATTATAATCGGATAAAAATATGAAGGTGTATGTTTAATTTCAAAAACTGTTAGCCACTTTCTGATGCGTTTTGCACAAAAAATCTTATTCTTCGATATTTGCAAGAGATTTAAATACAAGATATCGGAGTCTACATGTTTTTAGTTTGATGAACGATGTTAAATAGGTTGTTCTAATATAATATTAAAAATTTGATTTCTGATTTTATGAATTTTGCCTCATTGCCGACAAACGTCAAACACATCTTGGACTTAAGTGAAGTGTTTTCACATGGCTAGCTGTCCAGAAAACGGTGCATTCCATACCTTAAGACTTAGGGCTTCCTAAAATGTTTAGCTTTTTCACTTTTTGCCAAAACTTTTTCACAGAAAAAATCCAGGGGAAGCCTTCACATTCAAATTTTTAAAACTAGATATTTATAGTATGTAATAAACTACCGTTTTATGAATTAGCCAGTCCAATCTTTATTTGATAATGGATGGGGATATTACTATGAAAACAAATATTAGATTGACCAACTTCGTTTACAAAATCAAATTGGCCAGTACGGAATCATAGATTGGGCCAAACTCGAAAGTAATAGTCGTCAATCAGGCAAACGTCAGCATGGAATAGCCATATTCTTTGACCTCGAGAAGGACTACGATACCACCTGGTGATTTGGAATTATTTAAAAAATGCCATAAATCGGGGCAACGTGGCAACATTATAAAATTCATACACAGCTTCTTAGAAAATAAAAAATTTAGAGTATGGAACACTATCAGAAGCATACATACCGCAAGGGTCGGTACTCTCCTTGACGCTATTTGTAATTGCAGTAAATGATACAGCGGGGGTTACTTCCTTACTGGGAGAATATGCGGGACAGAAAAACACATTTCCTGCACAACGTTCTATTTGACAAACTGAGAGAAAGATATGACATACTGACAACCCGCACAATGCCGTTAGCAATAAGGCAAAAAGAAGCCTTGGCCAGAAACGTCGATAGAATAAGAAAGTAGGATAATGAAGGCAAGGCCGCTGGACTGAAATGACGGAAAACCTAAGCAATATTAAGAAAATAGTTAAACCATGGACCGTGAAGAAAATGGAAAAGAAAGTTAGAACGAACTCAACAAGTCTGAGAATAGGCCACACCCGTCACACACTTGCCCATCTGCTGGGGGAATGTCGACAAAGATGTTGTTCAGAGGATAAAGAGCCAGTGACAGTGCTTCGCCTACTTGTACAGTGCAAACATTTGAAACATATTAAAGATAAATGGCCCAACATAACACCACACACAACTCTATCAAAGAACACGTTCGTAACAATGATCC